TTCTTGTCTCCACAGGAATGTCAGCTCTAGGAATACTCAAAACGACCAGGTATTGCCATATCCATCACAGCTTTTGTCATTCTGGGCATTATGTAGATTGCGTCATGATCAAATAGATGCTATGGACTGTCGCAGTTGGTTAATTGCAGTGTTGTAGGACCATACTGCTCAAATTTAACGTTCTCTGGGGTAAGTAAGTATTTACCTATACGCACCCGCGGTCTGAATTGCAAGATCTTCCGCTGAAGAAGATCACCAGTACAACACTCATCTTATATGATACTAGAATATTGCTTTTTTTAAAAAAATAATAATAATATTTAGCCATGCATTCAAAATTTACAGTATATTAGATGATATATTTTTTAAATATTGCTTGATGGAAACATTATTAATTTTAGGATATGTTGTTTTTTTTTCAAAAATGAAAGGAAGTGTGGAGAGAAATGATAAGAAGATATTGAAACATTAATTGGAAAGAGATGTTGGAAACATGGGTTTATTTTGGTGCAAAAGAAATAAAAAAATGGCACCTTATATCTCTGCAAAGCTACAAATCTAAACAATTATTAATTAATTGTTGGTACAGTAAATAAAGTAGCTGACCCATTAGCGCAGCTCGGTTTCATTATGTTAATAAAAAAAGGCTAGACAATCTTTCAAGGACGTGGTTCGCCGTAGCCGCGGCACATTGAATGATATTTTTAATTTTATATTAAGAATATAATATATTAGATTTGTTTAAATTAATATGAGTTTATATCTAAAATTTGTAGAGATAATTCTATGGAAAAAACAGAAATAAATTGAAAAACTCAATCTCAATCTCAATTAATTTAATATTAAAAAATAAAATTAATAAAAATAATTATTTAAAAATCTCTAATCAAATAGTTAAATTCATAATCCGGGTTATGCGCAAAAATGAATTTAATAATTTTTTATTTTTAAAATTATTTTTTATTTTTGCATGAAATATTCTTTTTCAAAAAATAAAAGAACAACCAAGACATGCATGAAGGATTAAGATAGAAAAAAAAAAGGGCTAACTAATTTTTTTTTAAGCTAAGTAAAAAAATAAGTATTTAAAGTTAAATAAAAAATAAATTATTCTAAAAAAATAAAAATAAAGACTAGGTGCTTGCCAGGCCAATCAATAAAAGGCTTGCTCAACACGCTATACCTCTTTTTATTTTTGTTTTTAAAAATGTTTTTTTTATTTTTTTTAAATTAAAAAAAAAACACAACATGTTGTCTATAAACTTAGAATCTAGCAACAAAAAAAAAATCTATAGATCTTGATTGGATTTAAATTTCTCAAGTATAGATTTAATATCTCAAGTAATAATGATGTTAAAGACACCTTAATGGAATTCTTCTCAAATAGAACCATTTAATACTAAAATTAACTATTTTAGTAGTAAAAATCAATATTATACGACAATTTCTCTTTATTATTAGAATTTGATGACTCTTTCTGTTCTCTATTAAATTAAGGATTGAAAAATAAAAAAAAATAAAGTTTTGTACCATAATTAAATTTAAAAAAACTAAAAAGACCAAAAAGGAATCATTTGAAAAATTAAAAAAGGATTGAAATAAACCTTTTTATTACGACAATAAGCATTGTGAGAGATGGAGAATATATATATATATATATATATATATATATATATATATTGATTTTAAATAAATAGTAAATTTTCAACACTTATAGGCATATTCAATTTGCATCCCTGATTATCATCATATTCTACCTAAAAAGGATTTTTTTGTCGCAAGCAACACTCATAGTGCATTTCACATGTATTTCAACACACCATTGATATATCATTTTAAAATGACATAACACTCTAATTTAGTAAAATTTTAATAAATTTTTTTATATATGACACTTTACCTTTACTTCAAATTTTATCTTATAATTTTCTGTATGAAATTAATACTACAAACACAACTATCTATTTCCACATATATCCTTAAGTGTATCACTAGTCAATTTAGTTTTTTATTCATATAGTGACTATACACATATAATCTCAAACAAGACAAATCCATCACAAGTTTATAATTTTTTAATTAATTTCATATATGACATTAATATATTACAAATACAAGAAATACACCAAACTAACAATAGAAGTTTTCACACCATACTTCATATACATGGATAAATACAATTTTTCTCTGCACAAGATTTATATCCATAACAAAACTACTTAATGGAAACAACAAAATTAGTGTTGTCCATATGGTTAGAGTGAATATGCAATACATATAATAATTAATAAATAATAAATATTTATATATACCACATGAACAAAGAAAATAATACTTCACGTAACTTAACTAATCCAGTCTTGAATTTATTTTTTAATGGTCACGAGTTTGAATCCTCTCATGACCATTATAAGTTTACATGATCATTAATTTCATGATTTACAGGATTAATCAAAGTATATGCAAACCGATCAAAATATCCATGTTAATAAATAATAATAATAATAATAACACCTATTTCCACTCTATTATTTTCTAAAATTACACCATATAATAACAAGATATTTTCGGCTCAAACTTTAAAGTTTCATTGTAATTTTTTAAACATGGCCATTACATACTTTTAACCCTAACATATACTCCCCTACAAAAGACTGAATTTGATTTTCATTTAGATCAAGTCTTGTCTAAAGTAGCAGATTTATTTTTCATTTAGCTAAATTCCTGTACTCAATTAATTCGTTTTAATTAATCAATTCTCCATCCAAATAGCTAACTTGGTTTTTATTTAATCAACACCTTATCCAAAAAATTATCTTATATTTTTTTTTTCGATAAATCAAACAGGCCATCATTCAAACAATAGACTTTAACTTATAATTAATTAGCCTCGGTTTAAATGACGGACTTTTTCATATTAATTTTTTTCTTTAGCCTCCACTCATATGACCAACTTAATATTTTTAAATCAATAGCCCCGTTCATGTGACCGACTCTAATCTTTTTAAATCAATAGCTTCTTTTAATGCAGCCGACTTGAGATATTTTAAACTATATCCCCCGTTTTGATCATCTTGTAGTGTATATCATTTATCATCAATCTCTTTCAATTTCACAAGGTCTACTAGAACGCAACCAGTGTTTTAATACCAACTTGATGCTGAAGATGATGACAGTGATGCCAACAAATCATTGTCTGTTCATGATATTGGAGGAGTGGTTGAAACTTAATGTTAGAATCATTGGTGAGGAAGATCAAGTTGATGAGCAAACAATAAGGATTCTTGCAGCTCATCGTGCCAAGGCATAGATCAGACCGCAATGAGAATAATTGTGAGGCTCTGGTTTTACAATGTGGCCACATAAGATCCAAGACATGGGAAAAGATATGAACTAGTGAAGTTGTGAAGATTTAGTGTTGATGAGGCAAATCCTTGTGACATTGTTGTCTTTGGGAGAAGTGATCCTAGTGGTGTTGCTTACATACAAACAAGGAGTTTGCATTGTTGTCTTTGGGAGAAGTGATCCTAGCGGTGTTGCTTTCATACAAACAAGGAGTTTGAACATTAAGTCAAACTTGAAAACAAGACAAGCTAGCCATGAAATATCTTTAAGTCAAACCTGAAAACAAGACATGCTAGCCATGAAATATCTTCAGCTATATTGGAAGGAACGGGTGCAGTGTACAATTTGTATTTGTTTGGGAAGGACTCCATATAAGGGATGCCTTGACAAAGTAAAAAACAACTCTATTTTACACGCATGATTAATGGAAAAGATCAAGTTGTATTAAAAGACACAAGTTGTTACACTTCCGCACCAATTTTGAACTCACCATTTTTTTTTCATCTTGGTTCTTCCTTTCTTTCTTAATCTCTCCCCTGGCTAATAAACAGAAAGCAATCTACTATCAATTCTGCAATTGAAGAACTTAATAGAGGAAAAAATAACTCTAGGAGTCAAAATGAAAAAAATTCATCGTTGAGATTCAGTCATGTAATGTTGAGATTCACAGTCACTATGATTGAAAAATGTTTTTAAAATTTTTTTTAAAAAAAAAATTATTTTTTTATTTTAAATTAATATATTTTTAATATTTTTAAATTATTTTTACTACACTAATATAAAAAATTATTAAAAAAATTATTTTAATATATTTTAAAATAAAAATTATTTTAAAAAATAACTATTATCACTCCCAAACACTAAGATGTACAATCCACGTGTCTAAAGTATTTTCACCTCATAACATAGTTTTCTTTATAATTATAATACCTGTTTTCACCTCACAACTTGTTCTTTAAAATCATAATACTCTTATCCAAGCAATTTACATGAAGCATATATTGCAAAATCCACTTTATAAAATACTTGATTTGATTTTTTTATTATTATTTATTCTGCAATTGAAGAACTTAATAGAGGAACAAATAACTTTATGGACTACCAATTCTGCAATTGAAGAACTTAATAGAGGAAAAAATAACTTTCGGAGTTAAAATGAAAGAAATTCATCATTGAGATTCACAGTCAGGTAATATTCCTGACTATTTAGCATCGTAGTTGAAAAGTATTTTTAAAAAATTTTAATTTAATTTTAATTTTTTATTTTAAATTAATATATTTTAAATATTTTCAAATTATATATTGATATTAAAAATAATTTAAAAAATATTATTTTAATATATTTTATAATAAAAATTACTTTAAAAAACACTCACTATCATTTTTAAACGCCCTCCCTCCCTCACAGAGATGTACAATCCACACGTGTAAAGTACTTTCACTTCGTAACGTAGTTTTCTTTATAATTATAATACTTGTTTTCACCTCACAACTTGGTCTTTATAATTATAACGCTCCTATCCAAGCAATTTACAAGAAGAATATATTGTAAAATCCACTTTATACAATACTTGATTTGATTTTTAATTATTATTATAGGCAAATTATCAGAAACTGAAAAGAATAATCATTAGACGACCAAAAAGTGTTTAATAGAAGAGAAATACAGGGACAACAAATAAATCGTCTATTAGCTTTCAAAACAAGAAATATAGAAAAAAAATGTCTTTTATCACATAGATTGAGGATTTAATACCTTTCCAGTACTACAAAAATAAAGGGCCTTGGGAAGGAAAGGCAAAGAAAGACAAGGTGCCAGCTTTCTTTCTCTAGCAGCTGCAGTGAAAAGAAGTTCAAGACTCCCAGAAGCATTATTTTCCCAAGATCACGCGTATATTTGTCATGTTGGTTGCACAGCAAAAGAAAATTGGAGAATAAATTAGCGGCCTGGAGTTCCAACTTGCTAGACTATTACGTAACATTGAAGTTACTATTAATGTTTACATAATAATTTTTCACCCACACCCTTCCTCAAAAAAGGATTCACCAACACTTGTTTTGAACTTTGAAGAAAACAATTAAAATTGATGTCATGCGGATTGCTCTCCAGCGTCTTGCTTGTCCATTTTCTGCAGAAAAATGACAAATCCAGTTAGAGATCAAGAATGAATTGAGATATCAAGACTTTAAAGCATGTTATTTTATAGCTCACATTAGGTCAAAAGGAAAGGGAAAGCAAAGCATAGCAACTTTAGCTAATTCAAATGAAATTGGTGAATTGTGAAACCTGGTGCAAAGAGAACAACAAACAAGACAATAATTTATCTGCAATAAATAAAACATTCTGACCACCAGATGAATTTGTAAAGCTTAACGATAGAAACCTCCCGTGACGACCGTAAAGAAAATATCAGGGAACATAATTGCTGAAGCCATTAACAGTACTATCCATCATGGTAGTGAATAGACCCCAGCAATATTCATGAACTCAGATGGCATAAAGTGTCCACAGAAAGGAATTATAAGGTCACCATAAAGAAAATATCAGGGAACATAATTCCTGAAGCCATGAACAGCACTATCCATCATGGTAGTGAATAGAC